GAGAAAGGATGAAGACCACTGGTCAGAGGGCACATCTAACTAGAGGGCTGACTCCTGGAAGCCAAGTCCTCAGGTCTCAATGGATAAGGAGCAACCCCCCCGCCCCTCCGCCACGCACACAGTTTTCGTGCCCCAAACCTCAAAGAGAGTTGGGAAGATCTAACTTCACCTCTGGACTAGAGAGGACTGGTGGTAGCCCTGGGCAGTGTTGAGCTCTTGAAAGCTTCACAGAATGATGGCAGCAGCAGGGATAGTAGTGGGGAGTCCCATGAACTGGAGTGAAGAAGTCACAAAGCAGATTCTGAGGCTCCTTTACAGGCCCAAGGAGTTTGGATTTAGCCTAACACATTTTCCTCCCCTAGCCCGAAGCTCTAAGACTTGGGTAAGCACAATCTAGAACGGGTTCTCTGAACATCCTTACCATTGNTGGGCAGTGTTGAGCTCTTGAAAGCTTCACAGAATGATGGCAGCAGCAGGGACAGTAGTGGAGAGTCCCATGAACTGGAGTGAAGAAGTCACAAAGCAGGTTCTGAGGCTCCTTTACATGCCCAAGGAGTTTGGATTTAGCCTAATACATTTTCCTCCCCTAGCCCGAAGCTCTAAGACTTGGGTAAGCACAATCTAGAACAGGTTCTCTGAACATCCTTACCATTGGGGAATGTTGGGATTTGGTTGAAATGGCAAGTTTTATTAACGGCAGTGGCAATGGTTTTTAGGTTTGATCATAGTTCATTCACATATTCTCTTACTGTTTTTGATAGGATTTAAAAAATTATCAGTTCTTTCACCATTTAACAGGGGAATAATTCAGTAGAGGCAACCAAGAGGTTGAACAGGATCATTCTTCAGTAGTATCTAGCCTAGAGAGAAGAAAAAGGGATCCAGGTTACTCTGCTGCTTTAAAAACCCACCCACAACCAGCCTTGCAACATGAGCTTGGTACTGGGACTCTAACAAATACCTCCTGTCTTAAGAGACTCTAAAGCATTGTACAAAAAAGGCTGATACATCCCTAAGAAGCCTAATGTGATTTGAGCTGAAGATAAAGGATTATGCCGTTCCTCAAAAAACAACAACAACAAGACAGGTGGTGGAGGAGGCTGTATTCTGTCCAGTATCAACAAGATAATATCAGAGTGCAGACAGGAGTTGAAAATACTCATTTACTACCCTAGCACTGTAAGTAGGAAGATGCGAAATTTGAAAACTGATACACAATCTTTGTTTCTAAAATTCTGAATAATGAATTTAATCCATTCTGCTGAAGATGAAGATGTGCTGCTGCACCCTTGCAGTTGAAATGTCATGTTTAACTGTCGAAGGCCAATGACATTTATCAACTTTAACCTTTTATGTTTCTCAATCTTTTAAAACCCACACCCCTACAATGCTTTCTGTAGATTATCAGCTTCACTGGAAGTTTACTTCATGTTCCTATGTTCCCAATCCATTCTAATTCTAGTAAGGCAAATTACTAAAACCAAATCCAAGCATACAGCAAAATATGTAAACTCTTAAGTGCAGAAAAGCCATTTTGGAAAAATGTTTGCAATTACAACAAATAAAGATTCCTCAAGTAAATATACAGTATAGATTCAGAGTCACTTATTTAAAATGAAA